GAAACCAGAGTATAAGTTCAACATATTTAGGACAATAAGTAACTTAGCTGATTCTAATCACTGCCATATACTAGCTATCCAATATTTCTCTAAATGCTTATTAAATTAAAGATAGGCAAGGCCATTTTATTAAATAGTGCAGTTCATTTGTTCATTCTTATTTATTCACATTTATTATGTTCCATCATGTGACAGCAATTATTCTAGGCACCAGAATTATAGATAGGCCAGTGGGGCATGATAGTGAATACCTACAATCCTAGCACTGGTACAGGCAGGAGGATGGCAGTGAGTTTGAAGTCAACCTGGGCTACAAAATCAGTATGAGCACAGCCTGAACTAGAGAGATCCTGTCTCAAAAAACCAAAACCAACCAAACAAACCAATCAAACCAATCAACAGGCCAGTCACTAGAGGACGAAGACAAAATAAACAAGTAGATAAAATAATTTCAGAGTGCTAAGAGCTATGAAAGAAAAATCCAATTAAGCTAAAAGAGCAAAATTTTTTTAGCATTTATATAAATGTAAACAAAGTTATCAAAGAGAATTGAAATCCAATGAACTTACATAAATATGAAATTCTGACTTATTTACAAAACGATCACATTATAAAGCAAGTAATACAAAATAATTTTACTTTTTAAATAGCAATGGACAATTTTTCACTGAAAAGCACACAAAACCTGTCACGAAGTCATAGAAATTTATGGTATCTGAAATTACATATGAAAAAAATGCAAGAAAATGGGGACTAAGTAAAGTATTCAAGAAATTAAAAAGTTAAGAATAAATTGTTGCAGTTGTCAATATAATGTATATTGCATTTTACTTTGTTTTCATCTATTTTTCCAAGTTTTGGATCCTACTACTACATGATTAACATATAATACCAATGGTTCAGGGAAGCTTTACTTTTACTTTCTGGTAGTGGAAACTGAACTCAGGACCTTGTGCTTTCCAGGCAGGTGCTGTGCCACTGAGCTATATCCTCAGCCAAACTTTACGTTTAGTTTGATCTTATAAACTGTTGAGGGATTAATCATTTGGAGGCTTGCTTGTTTCCATCAGGTTTGGTCTACCAATTTACTATTTATAGCTTATAAGAACAAAACACAGTAGCCATGACACTTTTGACCCTGTAACATTCTAGCTCTTTACTCCTTTCTACACTGAAATAACTTTTTATTACATTTCTTAATATATAAAAGTTTACTAAGAATGAAGTTATCTTTTATAGCAGAACAGATTGAATTATAGAATAATATTCTTTATCTCATCCCTTCTATCATTTCTGATCTGATTTGATGTGATCATGTCTGAAATACAATAATACTGTAATGGGACTGAAATTAAAGGGTTTTCAAATATTCCCATGTGCTTTGGAAGCAATTTATTCAGAAGTAAGTGACATGCTGTTGAGTTTTAAAGAAAGTTTTACTAAAAATTTCTTTTGTAATCATTCAACGTTACTGGAACAGCACAATTACAACTCAAATGCCTCACAAATTGATCTTTTAACTGTTTTTTTCAATTAAGCTTTCCTGAGTTATTTCAAAAGCTCTATAACTCCAGTTTTCAATTCATTTTTTTTCCTAAATTTTGATACTCTTTCTAAAGATCTGAGTCAAAGTTGTAGTATATATACTTTTTAATGCATCACATGACATGATATGGTGGCATAATTAATAATAGTTTTGAAGATGTGATATTTTCAGATACCTAAACTATCTGACATATTAAGGACAAAGTCAATTACTGTAATACCATAGTATCTTTGGTGCTTGCAGGACAATGCAACAAAATGTAATCTTTTTCTAAGTTCACAGACCCTTGTATTTTATGCCTGGAGGGACAGGAGGTGGTTTGGGAAGCTTCAGAACTCATGCAAAGCCTCTCTCCTGTCCTTAGGATGAAAATTCTTATCTATCTATCTATCTATCTATCTCCCCCCCACCCCCCAACCGGGGATTGAACTCAGGCCTTTGCGCTTGCCAGGCAGGCGCTTATTCTACTGAGCCATTTCCCCGGCCCCTATCATACGGTTTTAAAGTACCTTAATGATCTGACTTGCAGTCACCACTCACGCCCATTTTTGCTGCTCACATTCTGCTGAGTTAAACTCTCCCAGACCGCTGAAAATGGTCCACCATCCTTCAGGTGACCATTTCCTATCTTTTCCTCAGGAAGCCAAGACTGAGGTGCTGTGTGAGCGCATCCTAAGGCCCCCAGCACTTAAACTGCTTTCAACTGTCCTTGCCTGTGACACTGAACACAGAAGCTGCAATCCCCATTCTGTACACACAGCCTGGTACACTGTACGGTTACAGTTACTGACCCTACAATAATTGACCCTAGGATTACAGTAATTGTATAGAAGAAAAGAAAGGAGATTCTGACTGATCTGCATTTCAGGATGGGAAAGTCCATCCTCAATTCCTGATTGACCCTCACAAAGGCAAGCTGTTGAGTACAATGACAACCAGGAGAGTATAAACTTCATTTATATAAATTCACCATTTGTCCTGGAAGGTACACTTAACATGATGATAGCAAAAGAAAGACATTTCCACATAATTATAGGTACACAGGTGATACAAAGTTAGACAACTATAATCACATTAATGCAAAAATGAATTGAGATGCAAGATTATTAATCACAAACCAAAATTCTAGTTACCCATCTCAGAAATTTTCCACTATGTGCACATCCCACAGAGGATAGAGACCTTCCTAGGGAAATACAGCAAAATCAAGGCTAGTTTTTAAGCTATAGCTACATGAAATACCCTGGTATTTAGCTACTGTTGCTGTAAGAAATGTGGTAGTAAAAGGAATGATGTCTCAGTTACTTCTCTCTCGTTTCTGAGCCAAAATGCCTGACACCCAAAATTAAGGAAGGAAAGGTTTATTTAGGTCACAGTTTCTGGAGGCTTCAGTTCATAATCAGTGGGCTCCAAGGCAGTGGCACATGGCAGAGGACAGCAGTTCATGGCAGCAGAAAACAGTAAAACTGCAAGCGCCAAAAGGGCAGGAGCAGTGGCAGTGGCAGCAGCAAAGGCAGAGGTAAGCTTCTCTCCATTTCTTATATTGCATTCAGGCTATCTGTGGGTGTACACTCACACCCATAATCCCAGCAGCATTTACACCCCCATAATCCCAGCACTGGATCATGAATTAATCACAAACTCTAGAAACTGTCCCATGACTGTATGAGGCTTTTAGGGGACAACTAGACACAAACCATAACAGAAGACAACCACTAATTGGTTCAACAACAGATCAAGCAAATGTGTCAAACAACCTGATAAATAACTGATAACTAAAAACTGGTACCTGTACTACAAAGTTACAAAGGCTGAAAGTTATAACGTTGCAAGGGAAGGAGACTGACAGTGGGGGGGGGGAATCTAAAATACAAAAGTCTGATGCTTTTATCATCAAGTGGGAAGTTGGAATAAAACGAGAAATGAAGTTAAATGTCTATAAATTGGTAAGGGTGCAGGGAAATGGACATAACTCTTACTCTGGGGAAAATGACTGAGTCCCTTTGGTTGGGAGATATTCGAGTAGTGACAGATACTTCAGACTGTGAATAGCGGCTTTGAATGACAAAGTAGAAAAATGGAGGACTGACTGGGGATGTAGCTCAGCAGTAGAGCACTTGCCTTCGATGTGTGGTCAGAGGTCAGTTGCCAGGACCAAGAAAAATGGTACATTTTATTTTAGACAGAATAAGGCACTGATTTTTTTTTTGTAATTTTTTTAAGGTATTTAATACAGGATCTACACCGATCAGATTCATAGTGATCTTCCTGTTGTCAGTCTCTCAAGAGCTGGGATTATAGGTGCCCGCCACCATGCCCAGTCTCAATCACCTTCTCAGTGCTCCCCAGGGCAGGGCTGGAACAAGGCAGTGATGATTCCTGAAGAGGGTATCCTTATGCAGTTAAAATGATAATGTGGGAAAAGATTAAACAGACGGTTCTAAATAGTATAAATTAAGGGGTGTTGAAAATGGAAGCAGAGAAAACAATGATGAATCACAAAATGAACAGCCTGACAGGATATCAACTAAGAAAAATGCTATGAAACACTACTGGCATGTAGTAAGAAATGGTGGGGATAGGGCAAAGTTATTGTATGTAATATCTATGTACCATTTTAATACAAACAAAAATAACTTTTGATAATACTTGCTTGATTTTAATTACAGAGCTTGCTTTGCTTTTTGTTGTACTGAATGCTGTGTTTTGCACTAGAAAGGCCAAATATAAATTTAAAAAAGCTTAAATTCCAGAAAATTCACAAACACTATAATATCTTGTAATATTTTTATAGTATTCTTTTATAGTATTTAATGTAGTATATTTTATAGTACTCTATCAAGTGTAGTATTTTTTATAGTATTCTTTCAAACAAATTTCCAAATGTTTTACACAGCATGTTATTTAGAAAATTTGACTTTTACATTTAACAGTGTTTTTAGGAGAAAGGTTGTTTGCTCAGCACTTGTGGTCTACCACTACAGTGTAAATCATGTAATAACATTCCTCCAAACTGATAATTAAATCTAGTAACTATCAAGTGGTTGCTATGGTTGATTCTTATGACTGAAAACTTACGAAGAAAATTCCATCATGCCATACAAATGCTACGGTAAAACTCTTAGTTATAAAGGTTAAGGGATGCACGGGTAAATATGCACATCACCTGCACATCAGGACGTCACTGTGTTGAAAAATGGTGAATTAAGAGCCTTGAGTTCCTACGCCCACACTCGCCACGGCCGTGTTCACGGGGCGGGTCTGCAGCCCGCTAGCTTCAGCCTCCGCCGGATTCTCCCTCGGGCGGCGAGTCCCGCGGCCGGCCCTATCAGGACGGCCCACAAGGAACCCGACCCACCGCCCGGGACCTACTCGGCTGCGCACCCCTCCCCGCCGAGAGGCATTCGAGGAGGGCGGAGCCTGGGCGGGCTCGCCGAAAGGGCCGGTCGCGTACCTGTACGGAGGCAGCGAGGCTGCCTTCGCGTGCCGCGACGTTCACGCGGGCGTGCTGCCAGGCCGCTCCTGCCCCTGCCAGGGCCACGCCGGCGACTGCAGCTGCCAAGGGGCCTGGGCTCGGCATGGCCCGTCGGCTGGCCGCAAGTCCGCGCCGCAGTCTCGCGCCCCAAGCCACCAGCCGGGCGCCCGGCCCCCCAGCCGCCGCCATCTTCGCGGAAGTGCTGGAGCGCAGCGTTCCGCCCCTTCTCCCCTCCCAAGGTTTGAGAGCGCCGGAGCAGCCCAGCTCTCGCGAGACATGGTGGACTCCGCCTGGCCTTCGTGGCTTGGCTGAGGTGCTCGCACCTCAGCGCGGGGGCAGAGCTCTAGGCGAGTGGGAGTGGGTGAGGTGGAACAGTGTAAGCCGAGCGCAAACTGGTCTCCCTGGTGCGCGCCGGCCTGGCTAGTGCGCCTGTTACTAGGACGCCCTCACTGCATGTGTGGACCAGTCGAGAGGGAAGGGAATGAGGCCCAAGGTTAGATGATAAAGTGAGCCCGGGATGTCCCATTCCGTGGTCTGATTTTAGGACAGGTTTGTTTGTAGATCTCGAAGTTAGCAGTGATTATTTGCCCGAGAGCCTTGGCGCCTCTGATTCATTCAGAAGTTGTGTCGTCCTTTGTCTAGGGGAATCCGGTGTTTAGTGGGGCTACGGGAGCTGCGTTGAAGACCCTAGATCTGCGCTGCTGGAGAGAAGTGTGCGATTGTGTTTGTCGGGGTGGTCTTACCACCGCAGCCCCGCAGGGGTTGGGTTGTGGCACTGAAAAAGTCTACGCCTTTACATTGCCGTATTTGCTGTAAACGAAAGTCTAATTTATTAACAAACTTTTTGTCCTTTACATAACTGTGTATCTCTTCATAAACCATTTTAGGTAACATCAATCTGGTAAACTCTTGTTTTACAAAAATGTGTGTGTTCTCCTTATACCTCTTTTGCAGCTAGTAAAATTTTAAAATTAATTAATAAAATAAATTTATTCTTCTTGTTCCTGGGACGGGTTATATGTAATGCCCAGGACTTTTTTTCTTTTCTTTTCTTTTTCTTTCTTTCTTTCTTTCTTTCTTTCTTTCTTTCTTTCTTTCTTTCTTTTTTTTCTTCTTTCTTTTTTTGTAACAGGGTAAGGTTCTGGGACTGGGCTTGCTTTATGATCCTTGTGCCTCAGTCTACCATCTGTTCTCTTTTACTCTTCCTCCGTTTTTTTTCCGTTGCCTCTCCTCCCTCCCTGTTCCTTCAAATTTGAACATTTTCTTCAAATTTTCCCAGATCTATTACACATTTTGGACCTTATTTACCCTTTCAATTTACCACACCAGAGAAACAATGTGATATTTAAATGTGTGTCTGATTTATTTCACTTAAAAGTATGGTCTCAAGGCGCCGCCTTTAGCTAGAAATACCTCAAGTGTATCCTTTATGGCAGAGTACTATTCCATTATATAAAAACCCTATATCTTCTTTATCCATCCCTCTGTTGATGAGCATTTGGGCTGTGTCCAAGATTTACTTATTAAAAACTATACTGCTAGAAGCATGAATGTGTATAAATCACTGTGGTATGATTCTTCTAGTTTTTTTGGAAAGATATCCAAAAGGGGAATAGTAGAGTCAAATGGAGCCTCTAGCTTTATTTTTTGAGGAATCCACGCACTATTTCCACAGTATTGTTCCAGTCTTTATCTCCAGTGACAGTGTATCAGTTGATTTCTTGATAATAGCTATTCTCTCTGAAGTGAGATGTAGTCTTACACCAGTCA